TGTTTACTTATGTTTTCTCATATGAATCTTTTGTCTCCGGCTATTGGGGATCCCATTTCCGTATATATGTATATATATATATATATATATATATATATATATATATATATTTGTTTGAAAGTTAAACAATATTGTATAAAAATTATATTTAAGTTGCATGATATTGTAGTTATATATAACTGAGTAGAATAATATAAGAAAATTGTAGATAAGTTGTATATAAATTGTATCATATATAATTAGTTGTATGAAATTTGTTTTTACTATGTATAAATCAGATACAAAATATACAAAAGACATATTGTATAAATTTTGTATTTAAGTTATATGTTATTGTAGTTGTATTTAACTGGGTAGAAATAGTATGTGAAATAGATAAGTTGTATAATATATAATTAGTTGTATGAAATTTATTTTTACTGTGTATAAATCAAATACAAAATATACAAAAGACATATTATATAAAATTTGTATAAATTATATTTAAATGGTATGATATTGTAGTTGTATATAATCATTGAATTATGAACAACTTTCAAAACTCTGTCCCAAGGAAATGGGCTTTGTTATACTGCCGTGCTTGCATATTCCCTAGCAAAAAGTATCCATTTCTTCTGATATTGATAAATCTGCTTCTGCTTCTGGAGGAAACTTGGAGTGGGAATCCATCTTCCAACTGCTATCTGCCCCTAAGCATAAAAATATAGAAGGGTATAACTTTTTCCTTCTCGTTGTTAATGATACAATTAATTGTACAGACGAAACCTTTTGTCCAAAGGCAGATTTCCTTGTATTTTTTGTAACATTTCAAATCTCAAAATTCAGCCCATGATGCCTACCTATATTTCTGTCTCTTGGGAATCAACCTTAACATTTGTTCGATTATATCGTCAGCAGTCAGCACTAACAAAGAAAAGAAGAAAAAAATGAAAACCCGCATTCTTATGATAACTGTAGATTTAAAATATTTCGACATCCAAGCGTGGGTGGAAGATCGAGAAAAGGGGAAAGAGGAGCGAAAAAAGGAAAATGATGTAACTATATCCCTTGATTGAAAGCACAAATAATGGATTGAGAGTATTTGAAGGTGGATTATATATATTTTGTAAACAAAACTTATTTATGCGGGGTAATTAACTAAACATGAACATTAAAGATAATAAAATTTCAAATAGTGTATAAGAATAAAAAAATTCCAAATAAAATTGTGTTGAAATTTGACCGCGAGCTTGATAAAATTTGAACTCAAATTTCGATAGAGGCGGACTGTTCACCTCAAACTCTTAAACAGTAACACTTGCAAATTTGTATTGAACTTACTCCCAATTAGTTCAATAAAAAGCTATGTGCTAACATTTCCTTAAAGAATCTTGCTTTCTATTCTCTCTGAAGCAAAGATAAATTTACTATTTAGATGACTCAACATCGGTGGTGTATAGTGTCTCCAACTTTAATGATAGAACTATTGGTATTTTTTTTTTTTATGTGTGTGGTATTGTTGCTCCCTAATCCACTTTGATATTTGGATTAAAGTATATATATTTATATGTATATAGTCTTTCATTTTATTCGTGTTTCGTGGATTTCGGATGTGAAATGTATTGATTTATGATAATTCGTGGTGTTTTTATGTGTAAGAATCATCCGGAGGCAATATGAGGTGAAAGGTGCGAGATTAGAGCCAAAAAGGAGCAAAGTTGAAATATGGCCATTTGTAGCGCCACAAGCAGCGTAGGGGCGCTACATGTGGTGCAGAAGTCAGAATCTTTATTTTCCCAGCGCCAGGGATAGCGCCCTACGCTACCCAGGGCGCTGGTGACAGGAAGTTTTTCCTACTTCGTCCGTG